AGGGTTCAACAGTTTCCTAATGTCCAGTGACAATTCTGTCTTTGCCCCAGAACATACGAAAATATACCAAGACATGACACAACCATTGAGCCATTATTTCATCGATTCATCACATAACACGTATGTTAGTATAAACACTTGGATTTAAAGTCTTTTTCCATCATGAAATCATCGTTTAATCAAACATTTATGATGTATATTGTCATTCAGGTATCTTCTTGGACATCAATTAACCGGGGAATCTTCAATCGAAGGTTACATACGTGCTTTGCAACGGGGCTGTCGTTGCGTGGAAAGTATGAAATCCAGGGATTATGTTGACGGCATTCATCCATGCATCCACATACATGCGCATTGACCTATGTTTGTAACTAAACTTTTTCCATTAGTTGATTGCTGGGATGGACCAGATGGTGATCCTGTGGTTACGCACGGGCACACTTGGTAATTAAACTTGTCTTTGAGCGCTGATCTGTGGTTAATCGTGGTAACCATCTAAAATCGTTGAATGTGTGTTATCACTATTCTTAGGACATCGAAAATTCTTTTTCGGGATGTCATATCGGCCATTCGCACCTATGCGTTTAAAGCCAGCCCTTACCCACTGATACTATCGCTGGAAGTTCATTGCAGCATAGAACAACAAGATAATATGTCCACGATTTTGCGCATTCAACTAGGCGACTATCTTGTTACCAGTTTTTTATCGGAACATGAGATGGCATTACCTAGTCCAACAGAATTAATGTACAAGATTTTGTTGAAGGTGCGTATTATTATCGAGAACATTTTACCATCGACAAATTTTTTGTATCATTATCAAACTAGAACTTGATGATTTGTGAATGAGTGATTCAAAAACTTCATATAATCAGGGAAAGAACATCCCACCTGATGTATCGGACGATTATCTATTCGATTCTTCCACGGACACGGAATCAGCCACAGATACAGAATCAGACGCGGAATCCTCCAAGGGTTTTTTTTCTTTTTCCAAATCATGCTGTTTTAACTTTGCGTTCATTTTTATTCGACCTCAGACATTTTTGATGCCTATTTAGACACCAACAAGAAAAAGAATATAAAAAAAAAAAAAAAGAAAAAACTTACGGTCGCCAGATCTCTTTCAGACATTGTGGTTTATTGTTCCTCAATAAAGTTCAAAGGGTTCAAATACTATCGTGGTAACTACATAACGGACGGTATAAGGATGTGATTAATCATTTATTTAGAGGATGCGTGTTGACACCGTGAATTACATCTCCCCATTAATACAGAAAACTCATCACATTACCACATGTCTTCATTTACCGAGAGGGCCTCGTCGCGACTCCTTAAATCAGAAAAAAAGGATTTTATCCTTCACAACACTCGTCACTTGTCTCGTGTGTATCCATCCGGATTCCGAATAAATTCTTCAAATTTCGAGCCTCATCATCAATGGGCTGTCGGAAACCAGCTAGTAGCTTTGAATTGGCAGACCTTTGGTCAGTGAGACAGTGTTTCGGATTCCAAAGTCAAAAAGAAAAAAAAAATCGATCTACGATTTAATCTATTTGTTTCTTTTTAGATCTTGGCATGCAAATCGACCAAGCCATGTTTGCTGTGAACGGCAGATGCGGTTACGTACTCAAGTCGGAGAGTTTGCGTAATCCTGAAATGATCGTTCGATCCACGGAGCTACGGCGATCTCCGCGAAATTTGAACATCGAAGTATGTCGATTGTTGGAAAAAAATTTTTTCTTGTCAATAGCTTATACTCATTCAATCAACGAAAAACATAGATCATTTCCGCCCAACAGCTTCCCAGACCAAAAGACGCAGTCAAGGGTGAAGTCATTGATCCATTCGTTGAAGTGGAACTATTGGTCCCAGGAGTTGACGCCGTAAAAAAAAGAACGAGTACAATCACCGACAACGGGTTTAATCCAACGTGGAAGGAGACTCTGAGATTTTCGATTGACTTTGAAGAGACAAGCTTGGTTTTTTTACGGTACAACTTTATGATATCCGTTTGTTGACAACCACGCTAATTTAATCTTAAGTCTTACATAATTGACGCAATTAACCTACCAACTAGATTCATCGTGTGGGATGAAGATGCTAGAAGTACAGATTTTATCGCCTCATATTGTATCTCCGTGGCTAGTTTACAACTTGGTAAAGTTGATCTTTATATATAATTTGTCTCCCTCATTACCAGTAATAACAACCTTTATCAATAGGTTATCGCCATGTTCCACTCAACGATTTTAATGGTGAACAATACCTCTTTACAACTTTGTATATCCGCTCTTCAATTGATGATGAGAATGGAGCTAAAATCAATTAAACACACTCATACTTATTTAAATAATGAGGACTCCTTTTTATTGGCCAAATTGTAGAATACTTATTTTCGATTAAGGATCTGTCATTTAAACCTAAATCGGTCGAATATCGCGAGTCTATGTTAGTCGAAGCTTTCGCGAATCTCAAATGAATGCTTACATGCATTCAACCTTATAGAAATATTGTTTTATCTGTAATTTAAGCAAGCAATCGTGGTTCATTTTGTTAATGAAAGTTAAGTGTATTATTAAATTTTCTTTTTCTTCGAGAATTACGCGTCGAATTTAAATTAAATAGATTTTTTTGCAATTTTAAATTTATAAATGATATCAAATAAATTTATCTATATTAATTAAATAAGATATTGAATATACATGTGATCATATTATAATAGAATTAGTACGTAGAAATTGTAATTTACCATATACTGTATATATTCAAAAATTCAAAAAAATTATTGTATTAAAAATAAGTTTATTATTTATAAATAAATATTTATTTAATTGTTTTTTTTGAAAGGTGAATATGCAATGATCCAAATTCATATTGATACATTATATTTAGATTAACATCAAATATCTTCAATCAATATTTTATATTTTTATATGTTCTACTTACGTATATAGCTTAATATTACTTAATAATTATTTTGAATAATAGTTTACCTATTTATCTTTATATTTTATATGATGCAGGACATTTAAAATCCAAAATAAAATATTCAATTTTTAAAATTCTAAGGCTTTTATACTAAAGAATTTTAAAAAAAATTAATCCATAAAAATAATAGAGTAGATAAAATAGAATAGAAATTATGGTTTAAAATTTTTAATTAATTAAAAAAATTTTGTGTTTTAAGTATTTGAAAAATAATAGTTTTATTAAATTTTTTATAAGTTTCTTAAATAAAAATAAAAATTTCGGATATTACAATTTGTATAACTTTTGTGTAACATTTAATTATCCAATAAAATTAAATTTAATATTATTGTTTTTATAATATTCTTTATTAGTTTAATATGCCTTGACCAACTAAAAAAAAAGCTGCACATAAATAAATATCTTAAGATATAAAAAGTAAGGCTCTGAAAAGTACCGAACTGGTATCAAACTGGTATCGAAATGGTACCGATCTATAATAAATTTAATATATGGGTTGTAACCTACTCATATAATTTTATAGTAAATTTAAGTATTGAATTAGTATCGAAATAGTATTGAAGAGGTATTGTTAAGAGCCCTAATAAAAAGCAAATTTATTAAAAACCATAAATTTAATTTAAACAATACAGAGTTAAACACATTTGAATTAATAGAAACAAAATTAAATAATAATTTATTGGATAAAGAATTTAGAAAAAATAATAAGGTAAATAATTGGAAAAGTAATATTAATTCAATAACAAAACAAAATATTCGAGATAAACTTTTAAAAAATAATCTTTAATTGAAGTGAAAAACAAATACAAATTTAAAGAAAAGCAAATATGGTTCTTATAATATAGAAAAAATACCAAAATTAATATATTATGATAAATAGGAACCAAATGGTTTATGGACAACAGCTGCAAAAATAAATTAAAAATTAAAAAAATTTTTAACTAAACAGATATAAAAAATAATCAACAAATTGAATTAGTACAAGATATTTTATTAAATAAAAAGTTTACTTTACTATTGAAAAATGATATTATAAGTTTAGAAAAAAATTTCAATAAAATATTAGTACAAGAGTATATTAAGAAGAGAATTATATTTGAATATTTGATAGGCTTATTAAAAGATATAAAAAAAATAGAAGCAAGTATAAAAGTAGTAAAAATAATATATAATATGGAATGCAAGTGAACAGCTACCTGGGTTTGAGAAATGACAAAGTATTGACATAACAATTATATATTATCTATATAATATCAAAGAAAACATCAAAAACTTAGTAGAATAATTGATAATGAAGATATAATAAAACAATATTATATATATAAAAAAAAAACTCTCACCTGTTCACCACTGATTTCTTGAAAATTTCCTTATATGGTAATCTTCTTGAAAGAAGCGCTTTCCTCTTTCTCTTCAATATGCTAATTATGCCATAAGCTCAAGGACATAAGGACTTTAAAGACCACTGTTGCATTGGGATGGGATCTCTGGTCAAAGGTCAAACAAGTTTGGGAGTCTTGTTTGTTCTTTGGTTGCATAGGAAAAGGCCCGTGACAGTCCTCTTTCTTAACTTTGTCTTTATGCACCTCCTCCTTTTCTACTTTCATGATAACCATCCTCCTCACCATTCTCAACATCACCAATATATTCCTAAAAGTACATTCAAGTAAAGTTTTGGGTTCTCCTACTTGTCTCAACCAAACCCTTCTGAACAAC